GAGGTGCTTGTCCTGGTTTATCTAGGCTGGCAAGCTCCACACCCTTAATTAAGGTGCTTGATTGTGTGACACACCCCCTAGGCGTTCGCTCATCAGATGAGCGAGCGGCTGAGTATATAATAAGATAATTGGTGGGGTCTAACTAAAAAGTGGGGTTCTTCTCTAAGGTCTAAGCGTCTGAGCCTTATCTTAGAAAAGCTTTTTCCTCTATTATAACTCTAAGGCCTCTTATATAGTTACTTTCCTAAAGTACTTTAGTCGCGTAGCCTAAGCTTGTAGGTTTTTTTATAGACTACTCTTAAGCTAAGTCTCTACCTAGGATATTATAACGCAAATAAGCGTTCAGTTAACTGTCTAGGAGCTTGTTTCTGCTGTTTAGTGAGAGTGATAGGGAACCATTTAGAGGGTAGGTCTAGGCTGGTGAGGTCCTTATATAAAGGAGGGGTTTCGCGCAGCTAGCTTCTCTTTCACCAGCTCGCGAGGTTATATAAACCCACAGGTCCCCTAATGTCAACAACTTCAGCTTCTTCATCCATCATGGCTGTACGTATACTTTGTTTTTGTGTTTTCGAGCGGCTGGTGATCTTTCCTTCGCTCGTTTTGGCTGTAACTGACTTGGAGATAGAGAGAATCAACCACCAAGCGCGCCGCGCGCACCGCCGCCGCCACCGCCACCCGCCGAGCCCGCCACGAGGCAGCTAGGCGCGCGGACACCTTTCAAGAGCTTCTGCTCGCTCCGCGTGCCCGCGCCCGCCCTCGCTCGGTCTCGCCTTTGGGCAGCAGTGGTTTGGCTTCGGCCAAACGAGCTTCCTCTTTGGGAGTGGAGGGCTCCTTTAAGGGTCCTTTCGACCCTCACGCTCCCCTCCCCACCCTCCCCACCACCAGCACCACCACCAGCACCACCACTAGCACCACCACTAGCACCACCCCCGGCGCCACAGCAGTGGGTGGGTCCCCTTCCAGGGTACCACTCGTTAGGGGCACCCGCAGGGTGATCCCCTGTGGGACTTGTGTGGCCGCGCTGCTGACGAGCAGCTCAGCT